CTCCTCCTCATTTCTAGTATCGGGCGCAACGGCGGCTCAGTGACCAGCACTGCTGCCTCACAACAAGAATGTCGCTGGTTCAAGTCCTAGCTGGGCCAGTCGGCATTTCTGTGTGAAGTTTACATGTTCTCCCATGTTCGCGTAGTTTTCCCCGGGTACTCTGGTTTCCTCCTACAGTCTTAAGACATGTGACACAAGTGAATTAAATAAAAATCACAACAGTCACAAGCACTTAATACAGAGGTTCTCTAAATGTGTATGCACTGGTGCGGTAGGCAGTCTATTCCTATAGAGCTGTCTTATTAATCAAGGAATAGGCCAAACGAATCAGGGGGAGCTCTCGAGAACTACCTGATCTCGAATCCCTCTTAATGCTCATTGACTAGACGGGAGCCTTGGGTTCATCTATCTACGAGCTCAGGGTTCTCTCCTGGGACAGCATGCCAAACTTGCGTCAAGCTTTATCTAAGAGTAAACTCTTGAAATGTTGTTTATTAAATTAGCATATTTTTCTTTAATGACTTTATGCTTGTGGATTGTTTAGTATATTTTAAGCACATCTAAAATGATAGATTCTTTACCAACATTTATTCAAATCATCTAGTGAAATTGTATTCATATCACAATATATTGCAAAATAAAAAATTAAAAATATTGCAATGTGTAATTTTTCCAATATCGTGCAGCCCTAAATGATAGACTTTGGAACAATAAACCCTTTATGCTAGTTGTTAATACTAGGAGGGTCAAAGGTTGTATCTCTAATGCAGGAAAATGCCAATAGGAAGAGCAGTAAGGCCTCGCTCTTTTCCTGAACCCATTTGTCCAGTCACTTCCAATGCAATTCCAATGCAGTGAAAGGTTAAACTCATCATCTAAGAAAAGACTGTCAAAGAAAAAAAGGCAACTATATATACATAAAGTATACAGTACCACAAGTTCAAATTATGAAAATTACTAGTTTGTCAAATACTTTTTTTAGACTTGACTTTCTACTGAATCACACAAGAAGATGTGAGCTAAACTTGGAAAGTGCTTCCACTGTGTGCTGATTATCAACTATTTCATCTGCAGTATCAAAGCCAATGTCTGGAAGACTCTGGAACATGGTCTCGGGCAGCACTTGTAATTGTTTTTGGAAATGTGCAAAGGATTGCCAAAAAAATTCCCCAAGATCCTAGGGGCAGACAAAACAACACTGCCATATAAAGTCAAGCCCTGAGCTCACGTCAAATTAAGCAGCGATTCCAAAATGCCTACACAAACTCTCTCAAAACAACAGGGGCGTTATGTAAACACAGTCATGGGTAGAGTTCAAATCACACCAAAATGTACAGTACATGTCAGCGCTCCCGACACTTGTTTAACTTTAACAACTCACTGCAAAGAGATTAAATGCTAACAACCAAACACACTGACAGATCTTTTAAGTAAACTTTCTTTGTTTGCATAGAGAAAGGCTGTTTTGTTTTATTCAGAAGCTTGTTTTATTTAGCAGGATGATTATATTTTACTGGATAAAATGTATGGGAATTATCCAAATGAGTTTAAACTATTCACTTCATGTTTTGCTTCGAAATCAGATACGGTCCTTCTGAATTCAAAAGAAAAAGGCAAGGCATAAAAAGCCATTTCCAGTTGGACAGTGCTTCTCTTTATCACTCCAGAGGGCACAGGATGTGATCTGGCATCCCATTGCTCCCTCAGTTCCAGCTGAAGCCCCAGACACAGATGTGGAGACTGAAGGAGCAGGAAGCCTGGTCACACCCTCTGCAAATAACAAACTGCACACGCCATCGTCTCCCAGCCAGAGAGAAAACCAGGCCACGGCTGAGAGGTGGGGAAAACAGACAACGGGTGCTCCGAGTCGCTGGAGTTACTAAAAACCTCCTGATGTTAATTAATATCCAGGTTGTTTATCCACATCTAAATGGCATTTGAAAATGTGAAAAGTAATATACAGAATTGTCGATACACCCAACACCAGATATTAGTGCTTGAAGAGATTGGTATATTAAGATTGTTGCAGGGAATGAAAAATGGTGCCTTACTGTAATTTTTTTGTTATACCTGTAAAACCTAAAAGGTTGCAATCACAGCTGGAGTACCTTTTTTTTTTTTTGACCCTACAGTTTCCCGACTTTGTTTTACAGTACAGTTAAAATTAGTTTTTAAATATTAAATAACACAAAGCCTTTTTTAAAACAAAAACGTTATTTAACAATGAATTCAAATGATTAAAAAGGGACAACAACTATATATAGTTGAAGTCAGAATTATTAGCCCCCCAGAATTATTAGCCCTCCTGTTTATTTTTCCACAATTTCTTTTTAACGGAGAGAAGATTTTTTTCAACACATTTTCAAACAAAATAGTTTTAATAACTCATTTCTAAAAACTGATTTGTTTTATCTTTGCCATGATAACAGCACATAATATTTGACTAGATATTTTTCAAGACACTTCTATACAGCTTAAAGTGACATTTAAAGGCTTAACTAGGTTAATTAGGTTAACTAGGCAGGTTAGGGTAATTAGGCAAGTTATTGTATAACGATCGTTCTACGAACAATCGAAAAAAAATATCTTAAATGAGCTAATAATTTTTACCATAAAATGTTTTTTATATATATTAAAAACTGCTTTTATTTTAACTGAAATAAAATAAATAAGACTTTCTAGAGAAGAAAAAATATTATCAGACATACTGTGAAAATTGCCTTGCTCTGTTAAACATCATTTGGGAAATATTTAAAAAAGAAAAGAAAAAAAGTAATAATAACTGCATATTTTCGACACTCAAAATGAGTGAAATGAGAAGTTTCTTGAGCAAACAATCGTACAATTGTGATTTTTAAAGAATCATGTCACACTGGAGAAATGAAAATTCATCTTTGTCATCACAGGAATTAATTACATTTAAACAGCAGTTTTAAAACTTGAAATAGCAGTCTGACCTGTAATTCTGACCCCAAACTTGTAGTGTACTAATGCATTTAATTGACTATACTATAGTGTGGATCTATGTTAATGCCAAAATCACAATATATAACAAATGTTTTACCTGTTTAAGACATGTTACTATATTGTTTTAATATATTGGTTTAGTAAATGTTTTAATATTGCAGCCTGATCTCACAAGAAATCATAACTATTTTATGTTTTGTCAGTTTAGTGGCTAATACGTATGAATTTGTATGAATTCAGTCATGTGAAAAGTATTGAAAATGTATATGAAACATGTATATGTATATGAAAATGATTTTAAAAAGAGGCATGGCACCCAACCCTAACCTATATCCAACTGTCATTGGGGGATGAGCAAATCGTACTAAATTGTATGAATGAGATTGTGTAAATTCCTACAAAATAGCCACTAAATCAAAATGTTACAAATTTCTGTGACATTGTGTTGCTTATTGTACATTCTATGGCATCACAGCACCATATGGCATGATACAAGATACTGTCATTTTCAAGATAAAAAATGTGCTTTGCATACATTATGGTTTATTAGGTTACTCAGAACCATCTCCATCAAGAATTACCAGCAATTTCATAGAGACAACTAATAATGTAACTACATGCTAGCACTCATTTGAAAATAAAAATCAAGCAATTCCACAAATTAGATTATTTATAGGACATTCAAATATAAGTCACAAGTTCAGTGGCAGCACTTCATGCAATTGCTTTTATGGCATTGTTATATTAACTATTAACACAAAGAGTTTCGTGCTCAGCCTACATTCTCAATCTTATCAGAACCAGCAAGTCATTTATTGACAGTGTGTTGATGAGGAAATGTGATCCACATCACCAAAAACATAACACACAATAGCAGGATATCCACTGCAAACTAGTTTAAACAATAAGGCCAACTTACTCTGGTCAACACACCTCTCTGAGGCACTCATACACACACAACTCTGGCTCAGCAGGTGCAGCCAGTATGAAGCAACAATAGATAGCAGCAAGCATTACAATGCAACACATGAATTGCTTTAGTGCAGAAATAAGACATGTAATGCATTGTTTCCTTGACCTAAAAAATTTCAAAGCAGATGCAAATCTGGAATATGATTTAGAATTCAAGATGTTTTGAGTAACTCCTCCATCTGGATTGAGGTAAAGTTGGTTTTATAATCGCACATTCTGACTTCATCCTTAATAATATAATTTCAGAAAAGTATTCTCTGCAAATTCTAAATAGGAAAATCATATTAGGATCCAATGAATATTAAAGTGTATCATTGTTTAAAGTCAATTAAATAGTGCTGATGTTGTTTTAAAGTCATTCATGCGATTTCAGATGGAATATTCAAAGCAGCTAGATAAACAAAAAGGAGACAGTTACATTGAGCTAATGTGCGAATATAAAACCAACTTTAACTCAATTCCATCTGGTCAGAGGAGATCTCACCTATTAAAACATGCAATTGCAATGATTCAGATTTACAACTTGTTCTTTGTTACCAGTTAACAAACATAACAACTCATACATGCACACAAAATAAAAGGTTGTTATTTAGAGATTTTCTTTCTTTTTCCAAATGACATTTAGTCAGAATAACAAACATTGTTGTTTGATTTGATTATAAACTAGAATTCTTACTCCAAGTATTGATTTCAAGTCTTCTGAAGTTAAAACATTACATTGTGATGTATTTAAAATAATATAGTCACGTCTAAAAAAATGGCACATTTTTTTGTCATTATTATTATCAGTAGTTTACTGAATAAAACAATAACTTTACTCAAAACCTTAACCATAACTCTATTTTCTTTTCTTTTTTTTTGCATTAAATAACAATAATGTACTATGTTTTAGGCATCTTCTTTCCAGACAACACGATACCAACGTTTTACTATTATAAAATTAGTTATTTATATATACATTTCCAATTTCAAAATAAAGCTTTATGTTAACCAGATACCATTATGAGAGCAGTTCTTGTACTAAAGCACATGGCAACAGAAGGTGAGTTCCTCTATCTTACCTGAGCTTAAGGTTGGCCATAAACTCTTCCAAAGACACATTGTCCAGAAGAACAAAGTCCGCCTTTCCGAACTCCAAACTTTCGTGTTCTGCCATAATAAGCTGTTAAGAATGTGAAACTGAAGAGAAAATAATAAAAAAGCTAACTGTTGAATGTCCCACGAAAAGTAAAGTCAATTCTCCAACACCAAACCGGAGCTACAATGCATTTCCATGAATTTGTTTACATTTGCCTAGCGCGCAATTGGTCGGCTTCTTTTCATGTTAATAGTAAAGGTATAAATAAACACGCAATGTTTGTTAACAATACGTGGATCTCCTTGTTTAAAGGTCGAAATTCCTTAAAGCTACGCACTCCTCGGTCGCCTGAAAACTTAAGCTAACTTTTCGAGCCTCCCGGTGTTTGAGTGATAGTCCGCTACATCGAGACTCGCACCTCTCATCCCTTTTTCCACGAGCTCCACTCTTCTCGACTAAACACGGCGGCTTCAGTGTCCTGCCCGTCCGCCTTAAGCCCCTCCTCTCTCGGGCGCGAGCTGAGCCGTGCGCGCTTTACCTCCACACACATCATGATTATGAAGTTATGAAGGTGGATACTTCTCGAGTATCGACTCTTTCAATCTACATTAAAATCGGTTTCTTAAAGTTTCGTTAAATTACTGGATATATGTTTAGACTATAGTCTCCAATAATCCTAAATTGAACTGTTCAAAATTATATGGCAAGCCGTTTTAACTTTGATTCATTCGAAGGATATGAAGGATATGAACTCAGTGTTAAATTCTTGATATCAGGAATTTAATTTCGAATAGTTTGCTTTTTTGTGAATGTTATTCAACAAAAGAAAAAAGAAAATATATATATATATATATAAGCTGTAGAAATTGTCATTTTTTGTGTAAATCAATAGGCTATGTACAATGCATGTTTATTATATGCCTCAACTGCTATAACAATATCCTATTGTTATGTCTTAATGATTAAGTAATATAAATCTTTTGTTATCAATATCAAGTTTTATTAATGACTCTTAATAATAATCACAAAAATCAAATGTTATCAAAGATCAAACTTCATTTAGTAAAAACTTCTCAATGTCAGTCAATTTAGCCTGATAAATGCCTTTATATGCCTCCTATTATTCATTTACCTATTATTATTTGCCTGCCAGTGCATACCCACACTTGGAATTCTCCTGAATTTATAGACTGGCACATACAGTTAAATTCAGAATTTTTAGCTCCGCTGAATTATTAGCTCTCCAGTTTATTTTTTTCCCTACTTTCTGTTTAATAGAGAGAGAATTTTTTCAACACATTTCTAGTTTTAATAACTCATTTCTAAAAACTGATTTATTTTATCTTTGCCATGATGACAGTAACATTTGACTAGATATTTTTCAAGAAACTTCTATACAGATTAAAGTGACATTTAAACTCTTAACTAGGTTAATTAGGTTAACTAGGCAGGCTAGGCTAATTATGCAAATTATTGTATAATGATGGTTTATTCTACAGACAATCTGAAAAAATAAAATCGCTTAAAGGGGCTAATAATTTTGACCTTAAAATGGCTTTTTAAAAAATTTAAACTGCTTTTATTCTATCCAATATAAAACAAATAAGATAATAATAATTCCTGCAAAATTCCATATACACCGCTGTAAATCCTCTTAATGTAAACCTTCTTTTATTGTTTTTGAAAAGGATCTTCATCATTAGAGTTATTTCTTCCTCTAAAAATTAGCAATTTGATTTAGTGGTTAAAGCTATTAGAACTGTTAACTTATTTTCCTTTTTTAAGTTGTTTACCACATGCTTTTATATTATCTGTTGTTTTTTTTTTTTAGTTTTTATGTTCTTGTATGTCCTTATTTGATGATTTACCTCTCTGTAAAACTCATGCACAATCTAGATAACAAATTCTTATAATGCTGTTTGTGTTATTCTGACATTAATAAACAAATAAAAATCGATTTAAAAAAATGCATCATTAATTTAATCTTTTCCATCAGAATTGTTTATTTTTGATATCCATACATGTTATGTTTTTAATTTCATGATTGTGACTGTTACATGGTTTCTGTAGGTTTCATCAAGTCAAATTTAAGACTTTTTAAGACCCTTTTAAGACCATTATGAATAAAATTTTGGACTTATGGCTAAACACTAATCCTTATTTCTAACAGCCAGGTTGGCCACAAAAAAATTATTTCTTAGTGACATACTTGTCAAAACAAGAAAATTGTAGTTGTATACATTTTTTCACAATAATATTTATTTTGTTTGTTTTGTTACATTGTTAAAAGTTTATTTTGTGGAGGGAATTACATAAATAATCAAAAATATTTGTTGGCTTTTGGTCCAAACTGATTGAATATTACTTCTATTCAAGCATTTCTGTTATAAAACCATGCTTTTCTTGCCTATTTATAAATATGTCTACTCCGCTTCATTTATGTAAATATAATTTTGTTTGAATGGAAGATGACGTAAAGAGATATACTTCTCTGGTATCATGAGGAACTGTGTAATTATTTTTAGTTTTCTTTCCCTGATTTATTAAGATGGATTGCTGGTGATTGGGTGGATTTCAGCCCAATTGGGCAGCTTTACTTGGACAAAGGAAAATTTAAGACCAGTTTAAAATGATGTAAGACACACAATACAATATTTCAGTGAACTTTTTAATGCCTAAAATTTTGTTTCACAACATTTTAAGACTTTTTAAGACCCTGCACAGGACACCCTGTAGTAAGAAACCCATTGTAGATAGCTGAAATTACACTCCTTTGATAACAGAAGCAGTTTAGATATCAGAAAAGTTACATATGATTCAAAGTTAAAATGCTTGCCATATATTAAACAAAAGTAAGAAGATATATTCTCTAGTTAGACTGCTATGGCAAAAGAATAAAGAATAAATACAATAAATAGCTAACTAATGCATTGATAAGAGCTAGAGAATTTATTTAAATAGTGGAAGTGGAAACATAAAAAGCATGCATTTTCTTACTAATAAAAACTAAAGTATGTTTGTGCAAAATCAAATATAGGCTATTTAGTTAAAATAAGAAATAACTTGCAATGGTTAACTTGATAATTATCTTTAATTTGAATGGGATGGTCGCATTTGAATTGTGCATAGTTGACATTCTTGAAGGACGTATAATAGTAATCATCAGAGTTTATATATCTCTGGAATGTCCGTCTGTCCTGTCCATATAAGGCAATGCATCCCAGTTGGAATGAACTGTCGTGTAGTTCAGCATAATGATTCAGTGTTATTACAACACATTTGACAACAGAATTCATCAATATCGAATTATTTCCTTTTGGTAAGCTCAAGCAAACAAAACGTGATTTTTGTCTGCTAAAACATTAATAAAACGCATTTCCTTGGTTTCCCTCATGTGTTAAAATGTGATTTGGGACTGGCACGTGTTGTCAGCGTCTGTATGTGGTGACTTCAGAACACAAGAACATGTTTAAGTTTAATGAGGACTCAAGATGAGCTTCAGGTTGCTCTATGCAGTTTTCTGTGGCTGATTAAACACAATAGGATGACTCTGCTGCCCCCGCCTGTGTCTCTAGGAGACTAAGACAACACTACAACTTAACAATTACATAACACTTTACCATATCTACATCCATTCTTCAATTTTAACAACAACAATATAGTAAAATAATAGTATATAAACAAATATGATCAAAAAGTATTTTTTATATATATATATATATATATATATATATATATATATATATATATATATATATATATATATATATATATATATATGTTGAGTTATTTTACTTTAAAGACCATGAAAAAGACTTATTTTTTGCCATAAAACTGATATTACTGAACCTACCCACAGGAGTCTGATATGCTGTTAAAAAAGGCTAATTTTAGAAGAACATTTCAAACGGTATTTAGAGGTCTTTCGCATCTGAATTCTTCATTGATTTATGTAATCTAACTTAATTTGTCTACTCATAAATTTGGACACACTAGATTTGGTACTATCTTTAAGGATTCCTATCTCAATTATAGACATTGACGATGGTTATCTGTCTGATCACAATCCAGTTGTTTTTAATATTTAAATTCCCAGACCCTTTTCTAATTAACAAACCACCAGACCGCCGTGTTTGTTGTCTGAATCTTTCAATGGCCAGTCATTTTTTAAGACACTCATTATTTCCATCTTTGTCCTTTGGTTAGGGAATAAATTAGTCAACGTCAATATTTAATTGCACTTCTAATGATATCATGGAGTTGTGTGCTCCTTTGAAATTTTTAAAAACCTACAGCCAAACGGCAACCATGGCTCAATGGTGATACTCGTAGCATTCGCCACCCATGGAGAAAATCTGAGAAAACAAGGCAGAAAACTAAGCTACAGGTGCATTATGATATTTTAAAAGACTTCAACTGTATGAAATATATAATCATTTAAAATATTGTTATCTTTATATGCTTTATTCACATAGTTACAATGAATAAAAAATATTGGTTTTATCCCAATATACATGTTTGCATTATTTTGTTGTAGTAGTCAAGTACAATACAATATCATAAATCATACAATCAGTCTATCATGGTGAAATATTAAAATAATTCCTTTAAAAGCTATATATATATATATATATATATATATATATATATATATATATATATATATATAGCTATATAGTTATATATATAGTTGAAGTCAGAATTATTAAGATTTTTTAAATTCATTTCTAAACATAATAGTTTTAATAACTCATTTCTAATAACTGATTTATTTTATCTTTGCCATGATGACAGTAAGTGATATTTTACAAGATATTTTTCAAGACGCTTCAATACAGCTTAAAGTGACATTTAAAGGCTTGACTAGGTTCATTCGATTAACTAGGCAGGTTAGGGTAATTAGGCAATTATTGTATAACAGTGGTTTGTTCTGTAGACTATTGAAAAAAAAGTGCTTAAAGGGGCTAATAATTTTGTCCCTACACTCTCAGAAATAAAGGTATGTGAGCTGTCACTGGGTAGTACCTTTTCAAAGAGTATATTTGTACCTTAAAGGTTCTTATTAATACCTCAAGGGTATTAGTACTTAAAAAGTACAAAAGTACTCCTTTTAAAATTTTTAGCTACTAATATGTATTTTTGAGGTACCAATATGGACCCTTTAAGTGCAAATGAGTACCTTTTAAAAAGGTACCACCCCAGTGACAGCTCGCGTACCTTTATTTCTGAGAATATAAAATGGTTTAAAAAAATTAAAAACTGCTTTTATTCTAGCTGAAATAAAACAAATAAGTCTTTCTTCGGAAGAAAAAATATTATCAGACATGCTGTGAAAATTTCCTTGCTCTGTTAAACATCAAAAATATTTTTAAAAGAAATAAAATCTCAAAGGGGGCTAATAATCCTGACTTTAACTGTATATATATCATATACAGTACATTTCAATGTCAATACGAATGTTTAAAAATTATTTTATGAAAATAAAAATAATTCAAAATTAAAACAGAATATAATAATAATAACAAAGACAATATTTTCATTCATTCAGAAGTTTTATGGCAAAGTAATTAAAAAAAAAAAACATTTGAAATATATGACATAAGGGCACAGGTATTTAAACAAAGCAATGAATAGACTGGACAAGACATTTTCAACCCAGGCTCATTCTGAAAAGGTACCTCAATACATTTCTGGAGAGCGCTTCATTTTTATTTATTTATTTTTTGCAGTCTTTGCTTTCACGAATTCAGCAGAGTCTGCTGTGTATGCTTTTTGACATCTCAAATTTCTCTTGCGAGTGCCAGTCATGCCTGCTGTTCTAGCGTAAACCCACCAGAAGCCGCTGTCGACTGACTGACCAACTGACAAAACGATTGACTGAACGACTGACTGACTAACCGATCGACTGACCCACCCTCCTCCTTCCCTAAACCCAACCAATTGTATTGATTGACCAGCCATCTGTACTTCAGGCTACATAATTTGCAATCTCCAGAAACAAATAAAGCTAAGTTTTCAGAACAAGCCTCTGATAGATATTTTATATACTTCCCAAGTCGAACATACTAGTAAATTTAGCCTCTAATAACCCAGTCGGCTTTTACATCATCTTAGATATTTCTCACCATAAGTAATGAACCCCCAAAAGCGATGGTGTTGGATGCGCTATTGGCCCAAGAGCGGCCTCGATTATGGGTCACATAAACTATCGCCCCCTTGCGCAGAGTCGTCATGTATGTTGAGAGATTCCCAACCGAGCTGGAACCCTGTACATTGCTATGAGACACAGCCACCCAGTAATTATTCACAACAAGCCATAGGTCAGTAGCACCGCTTCCCCCAGTCTGAGTGGAGAAGAAGAACTGATAAACGCCTGACACCGGAGCTCTGAAGATCCCCGTGCGAGGGTTGAAAGCCTGGCCTTGATTTACATACACTTTCCTGAACACAATCTTGTTGACTTTTCCTGCAATGCTGGCTGGGTAGGTAGCAAAAAAATGCACATTTGCTTTCACTATGGATTAGAAAAGGAAAGAGAGGTATTTGTTATTTTTTAAAAAATGGTATATGTCTTTATTCAAGTCTATTTGTATAGCACTTTTCACAATAATTATTGTTTTAAAGCCGCTTTACATTAGTGTATTACAATCAAAGTTAAGAAGCTGTGTATATGTCAGACATTGAAATGATTTAATCATTTAAACTTCTTTTCACACTTATTGATTAATTACTTCACCCAAAACTGAACACCTTCTGCAAATCTAGGTGGCTTTTTTCCTTAGCTGGGCATTGGTGATTTATAAAATGCAAGTCAACACCAACCAACTTACAGTGTCAATTAAAACATATAGAGGTCAAATAAAACTAATATTTCTGGCTCCTGGCTATACATTCAGCTCTTGAGCAACTTTTTATGAACATATTTTATCCAGTCTACAATAAATGTGGAAATCAAATTCTATTCTGAAACCTGATTCTTTCAAACAGTTAAATAAATTCTTGCACAGGGCAGTTGTTTCACTTGAATGTATCACCAAGAGTTGTGATTTATGTCTATTCATTTAACATTCTCTGATTAACTTTTTTCTGTTTGTTCATTTTTACTTAAGTAATGGTTACCATTGTCTTGCAATATACAATGTTACTCACCAAGGACCTGTTTCATCTTAAAATGAAAATAATGGGGTAAAATTATTTTTTAATTTAATTTAATAACAAAGAGAATGACTCACCTCTCCTTTTGTTTTTCTGACACATGTAGGTGATTTTGTCTCTGCTGATGCAAGACTCGCTTTTTTTACATTTTCCACAGACAAGTGTGTTGATGTCTGAAAGCATGGTGTGTGACAGTCAAATATGCGTACAGTGTACAGAAATACCTCAAATTGAATAACATGTTAACTTGATGATCTGATTTAGGCATTCTGTTGATATAACAGTGTAGGTATTTTCATTAGAGTATTAGTGTCTACATAATATCTGATAACAATTTGCTAAAATATTCAACTGACTATAAGTAACACTGCGGGTATGAGCAGTAGAGTATTAAGTAGAGCTCCTACGTGATATCTCTTAACACATTGTTTTATTAATTAATGAAATTCAACTTACTTAGTAAATCCACAACACTCTAAAAAATGCCAGCCTTCACACAATTTCTTCGAGTTGTCTCAACAAAAATCAATTGACTAATTAGCTTTTACAAATTTTAAGTGGATTGAACATAAAGCAGTTAAGTGGTCCACCAATCAATCTTAAGAATTGTGTTGTTTTAACTTATTTTAAATAACTAGTTTGAACAAGCAGCAAAAGTATTTTTGAGTGAAGTATTAGCAGTAGAATATTAGCAAAGCATTTATATAACATCTGTCAACACTTTTTTTATAACTAAAATTCAAAATTTTAAGTAGTACTTTAAGTTATTGGAGTATTAAACTATCTACATTAAAATTAAAGTTTTAGTTAATAACAGAAATTCTAATGACTACATGTAAGTTTGAAAGTACATCAATTTATTTTACGAACTCTATGTTAACAGTGTAAGAATGTTCTCATGACTGTTAGTAGAGGTCGGACCATCAAAATTAAGTGCAACCTAATTTTGTTTTCTAAAATCAGTAATGTGGATGCACACTCAAAAATAGAATAGAATATGAATATATATATATATATATATATATATATATATATATATATATATATATATATATATATATATATATATGTATATGTGTGTGTGTGTGACTCCTATGTTTGTGTTCAGTTATTTTAGTTTAAAAGCAATGAAAAAAAATCAACATGAAATTACTGAACCTATATACAATAGTCTAAGAAAAAAAAATCAATTTAGATGACATTTTCAGATGACACTCCATCATCTAAACTCTTCATGTTGACTTACTCTACCAACCCTAACCTAACTGTCTACTAATACTCAAATGACAATTAGATGACAAGTAGTTCCATGTCTTAGTGGGACCATCAAAATAAAGCAGAAACCAATTTTTATATTACTTTAATTTCTGAAATAAATTCCCATCTTACCTGAACAATACGCCAAATGGCAAGCAACTGGTTTGACAAACTTGTAGACGTAGTAGTTTCCTCTACATGCTTTGACTTGAATAGGATTGGACTTGAACATGCAGCAGTTGTTTTTCCAGTTTCCGCAGACTTTTCGAGTGACCACCCCATCCCGAATGCGAGGATGACCACCGTCGAGCCACAGTGGCGAGTGGGTCCCACACTTTTCTACCTTCACACACCTTTCAGGCATCTGGATGGTCTTACCGCGGTAGAAGAGACGGTACCAGCCTTTCCAATCGACTCGGCGGTCACAGGCAACATTTCGGGTGCTGTAGTTTGTGGCTCTCCAGCTCTGGTCCAACGCAGCATAATGAAAGCAGGGGTCTGCTGGGTTTTCACTGTCATCCTCGCCAGAGCCTTCGTCTCCATCCACATTCTGAGTGAAGGCGGACAGAGGATGACTGGTGCCTACAAACATCAGGTTTCAGATTTAAAAATGTGGGGTCACCACAGCAGAATGAACCACCAACTTATCCAGCATATGTTTTGACACAGCAGATGCCCTTCCAGCTGCAACCTATCACTGGTAAACAGCCACACACGCTCATTCAAACACATACACTACGGACAATTTAGGTTACCCAATTTACCTATACCATGTCTTTGGACTGTGGGGGAAACCGGGGCACACGGAGGAAACCCACGCAAATGCGGGGAGAACATGCAAACTTCACACAGAAATGCCAACTGACCCAGCTGAGGCTCGAACCAGTGACCTTCTTGCTGTGGGACGATAGCACTATATACTGCACCACCGCGTCACCCAAGGAATTTTAAATTCATTCATTCATTCATTCATTCATTTTCTTGTCGGCTTAGTCCCTTTATTAACCTGGGGTTGCCACAGCGGAATGAACCGCTAACTTATCCAGCAAGTTTTTACGCAGCGGATGCCCTTCTAGCCGCAACCCATTTCTGGGAAACATCCACACACACATTCACACACTACGGACAATTTAGCCTAACCAATTAACCTGTACCGCATGTTTCCTGTACCGGGAAACCGGAGCACCCGGAGGAAACCCACGCGAATGCAGGGAGAACATGCAAACTCCACACAGAAACGCCAAATGAGCCGAGGTTCGAACCAGCGACACAGCGACCCTCTTGCTGTGAGGCGACAGCACTACCTACTGCGCCACTGCCTCACCCATGAATTTTAAATTAAATTAAATTAAATTAAATTAAATTAAATTAAATTAAATTAAATTAAATTAAATTAAATTAAATTAAATTAAATTAAATTAAATTAAATTGACAAGTAGACGTAGTAGTTTCCACTACATGCTTTGACTTGAATAGGATTGGACTTGAACATGCAGCAGTTGTTTTTCCAGTTTCCGCAGACTTTTCGAGTGACCACCCCATCCCGAATGCAAGGATGACCACCATCGAGCCACAGTAGAGAGTGGGTCCCACACTTTTCTACCTTCACACACCTCTCGGGCATCTGAATGGTCTTACCGCTGTAGAAGAGACGGTACCAGCCTTTCCAATCGACTTGGCTGTCACAGGCAACATTTCGGGTGCTGTAGTTTGTGGCTCTCAGGCTCTAGTACAACGTAGCATAATGAACGCAGGGGTCCAATGGGTTTTCACTGTCATTCTCGTCAGAGCCTTCGTCTCCATCCAATTTAGCTTACTCAATTCACCTATACCATGTCTTTATGGGGGAAACCGGAGCACCCGGAGGAAACCCACACAATCGCAGGGAGAACATGCAAACTCCACACAGAAATGCAAACTGACCCAGCCGAGGCTCAAACTAGTGACTTTCTTGCTGTGAGACGACAACACTAACTACTACACCTAAATGTTAAATACTACATATTAAATTAAATTAAATTAAATTAAATTAAATTAAATTAAATTAAATTAAATTAAATTAAATTAAATTAAATTAAATTAAATTAAATTAAATTAAATTAAATTAAATTCAATTAAATTCAATTAAATTCAATTAAATTAAATTAAATTAAATTAAATTAAATTAATTTTAAAAATGCCCATTTTAACAAAACAATGCTAAAGAAAAACGGAATAATTATATTTATAAGTAAATAAATAGACAAAATGAAAATATAGAAGATAAAATAATAGTAAAATAAAATACATAAATTTAATTCTGACATACCATAACTCACAATGCAGTTTAAAGAAACATCAATAAAATCCAAGTAGGGAATCCAAACTTGATAAAATGGCACAGTGGACATATGAATGAAACAGGAGAGGAATTCTAAGGGAATCATTTGCCTAATAATATTGTGCCACCCTTTCAAGTTTGTCACTGATCAAGTTTATCAGTATATTTTTCCTGGCAGCAAAGGCTAAAATGTCAAATAAACAATTAATGAGTTTGTCAGACAAACGTCCAACTGGAAGACCTAAAATTAAAAAACAATGGATCAAACATACGGCACAAAAAATTAACTACTTTTGACCAATAAATTTAATTTAATTTAATTTAATTTAATTTAATTTAATTTAATTTAATTTAATTTAATTTAATTTAATTTAATTTAATTTAATTTAATTTAATTTAATTTAATTTAATTTAATTTAATTTTTTAAATTTAATTCAGTGCAATAATTATAGAAATTTTTATTGCATTCTTATGAAAATTTTTGCCTTTTTCATGTAATCTTTGTGATCGATTTGTCTGTGTTCATGTTAAAAAACAAGGCAAAAGAATTTTTTTTAAAGGCAAAAAAAATAGTTCTTCTCAGGACCTTAATTGTACATAGAAAATTGTACATGTGAGTGATTATGGCACACAAGATCACAATAAAACAAATAAAACCTCCTTCTAGCCTCAAGTATATTGAATAAAGTACATTTTACAAATTTATCATTTAAAGGCAACATTGGAATGCAAACAAACAGTAATATATATGACTGAAATATTTCAAATAAATGTGTATTGGGTAGTTGTTGTTCTCTTTTAATCTGTGTAACTTTTATATGGTTAAAAAATGGGGTTAAAAAATAACTTACCAGTTTGTAGTGATGTCAAATTCAACTCCACATCTGTATCAATAGGGTTTTGTGAACAGTATGGTAATACCTACAAAATAAAACAAAAAACAATGATATAATTTTCGCTGGTCGCTGGTTTGAGTCTCTGTGGAGTTTTCTCGAGGTGCTGTGGTTTCCTTCACAGTCCAAAAACAGGTGGTATAGGTGAATTGAATCAGGTGGCCATAGTGTATGTGTGTGAATGTGAGAGGGTTGGGTGTTTCCCAGTACTGGGTTGCAGCTGGAAGGACATCCGCTGTGTAAAACATATGCCGGATAAGTTGGTGGATGAATTAATAATTTTCTGATGGAAATAGTTTAATCTGTCTCATTCATTCATTCATTCATTCATTCATTCATTCATTCATTCATTCATTCATTCATTTTCAGCGTAGTCCCCAGGGGTCGCCACAGCGGAATGAACTGCCTAATCTGTCTCACATTGGATAAATATAAATACATGGAAGCATATGTAAACTTTTTTTAAAGTACTTAGTCTCTCTGCTCATAAGCTCCATGCAAAATAGGCAAAATGTTAATCATAAAAAATAAGTATAATTCAAATTGAATGTATTTGTAATTTTTATAACTATAATAAATTTACATAACAGATGTTTTAACAAACTTTCTTTTAGTCCTGCTCTTCAGAAACTACACAAAATACTTCCATACAGAAACAAGTAAAATTTCCCCTAATAGTTCAGTTTATACATTTTACCATCTTAATGCATTATATTTTACTCTTAATACGTTTTACTTGCTTCTTGAGCATCAGTAATGTTTTCACCTTTACATACAGTAATTGCATTTTTCAGCTGGATTCAGTTTAAAAAGATTTTTTTAAATCTCAAACATATCTATTCATTCATTCATTCATTTTCTTGTCGGTTTAGTCCCTTTATTAATTTGGGGTCGCCACAGCGGAATGAACCGCCAACTTATCCAGCAAGTTTTTATGCAGCAAATGCCCTTTCAGCTGGAACCCATCTCTGGGAAACATCCACACACACATTCACACACTCATACACTACGGACAATTTAGCCTACCCAATTCACTTGTACCGCATGTCTTTGGTCTGTGGGGGAAACCGGAGCACCCGGAGGAAACCCACGCGAATGCAGGGAGAACATGCAAACTCCACACAGAAACGCCAACTGAGCCAAGGTTCGAACCAGCAACTCAGCGACCTTCTTGCTGTGAGACAGCACAACCAACTGCGCCATTGCTTCGCCCTAAACAAATTTATCTGTTGGTGAAATATGCAGAATATTCTAGAAAAAAAATTAGAATGTGCATGGAGGATTTTTCTGAAAAATAGTTGAACAAGGACTCATGAACAGCAATTCCAGTAATGGCACAGCATTCAAATTCAAGGTTATAAATGCTTTCAAACAAATAAATTCTAATATTTCAGTTTTAGGTAAAACAAATAAAAAATGAGCCTGTTCTACAGTAAATTTATAAACATTGTACACAAAAAATTTATTAACATTCATTATATAATTGAATTATATACAGTATGAATTATATTAATCATTGTTACCTGGCTCAAGGCTTCTTGCTTTTGTTTCATTACTGATTGTTCTTGTTTCAAGCTTTCCATCTCCTATTTACAGTAAATACACAGAGAAATGAACAATAAAAAATCCCAGTGTCCTTTTAATCATTCAAATGTTTTCCACTTAACAGCACCACTAATGTACCTTATACACTATAGCAAGTTGTTCCTGCAAAGGCTGGTCAAGTGCATTCCAACGTTTGAATGTATACTGGAACACAATTTAAATAAACATAAAATATTAGTTATTATATAAAGCTGCGGTTTAAGATTGTTTTTAAATGTTGGGGATTTTAACTTTATCATCAATTACATTAACCAACTCCATCATGCTTACTGAAATATCTCTGTTCTCATTGCAATCTGCACAGATTACCAACACAGCAAACAGGTGGAAGCATAAGGAAAGCATCTGAAAGTGAAAAAGAAAAAGAATATTCAACTGTGCATTATCTGTTTAAATACATTTAAAACAAAGGTTAATAATAACAATAATAAAGTGCCTCATTTCATTCACAGGTAGTGAGATTAGAACTGCACTTTGAGTATTTATTAGTGATTTATTAATTTAAACTTTTACAAATTGATACAGGTTTGATGCTTACCTTTTCACAAAGAGCAGCTCTCTGTGTCTTACAGTATGCAAGTATATTGAATAGAGTTCATATACTGCACCAGATTATATGTGGACACTAATGCTGTACAAAAGGAAGTTGCTAGTTTGACTTTCACACCAGTATTGTCATGGGATATTGGTGGCAGTGTTCACAAATAAGGTGCTAACTTGCACATGAAAAATGGCCGCAGGCGGTTTTTGAGCTGATGGGGTCAGCAACATTTTGGTCGAATTTTTGTTTGTTTGTTTCATTTGCATACATGCAGCATTAGAGAAATGTGCACCAAGGATTCAGCCATTGTATAAATGACTTTTAACACATACATGTATCTTTTAAAATGAATATATTTTTACATGTATCAATAAATATATATTTAAAATGTTAAAATGTTAAAATTAAAGGACATTAAAATATTTACTAAAAATGCCACTGAACAGTATGACTTCATTCTTAAAATATAAATAAACTAATAAATAAATTAATAAATGAACGATAAATAAATAAATAAAATACATAAAATTATTATTATTGTTGTTGTTATTATTATTATTATTATTATTATTATTATTATTATTATTATTATTATTATTATTATTATAACACAAAGCACTTTTATCACACTACAGACAATATAGTAAACAAACAAGCGTTTATTCAAAGAGCATTTTTAACTAAACAAACATTTCAAAATGTTATTAGTTTATGTGACAGATCGGTCTAGCCATGCAAATAATACAGTGCAGTTACTCTCACACTGAAACTCAACACATTATTTAACTGTTTGAATTTTTGCTTTCGTAAGTATCGTTCAAAACCCAAATGGCAAGTCGATGGTTAAAGCGACAAAACAACTTGCATTATCAGCTAAACAGTTAACAAGTATGCTAATACTACTAGCCTACTATTACTTTTTGTTCAGACACACATTATTATTGACACAATATCTAAAATAACACGTTAAATCAGTTTAGTTTTTGTTGTGCAATCTATTAGGAATAAGTTAATAAATAAGATGTTCACGTTTCAGAATTAAGCAACGTGGTGGGGAAAGTGTGGTCATTTGAGGAAGATTTGAAGATTTAAAAAGTATAGGCTAAAAGATACTGTGTGTGTAGGCAACAGTATAATGTAAGTTATGCACCAATAGCTGTTGTTCCCTTGAAATTAAACTGCCAGTGTCTTCTACAGAAATGATGCAGTAGTTCGCTGAAGAAAAATCTGCAATAACAAAAGCCACCACAAGGTGGAGACATGTAGCCTATTTCAAAACAGGTTCTTAAATTTTCCTAGTCAAGAACACGAAAATCAAAATGCTTGTAAAGAGAATCCATCCATCCATCTTTCTATCTTTGCTAAAATAGCAACAACTGAAAATGATGCTGAAATAAAAATGCTATAATGTTTAAAAATATTCTTATATTTTAAAAAGAATATACAAATATCAAAGGAAATATTTGAAAAATAAATCATATAAACTTTTTGGTTGTTGTTAAAGTCTCAAGAAGAAGTTTTCTTTGCACCTGGTGTAAAATCATGGGGGTGAAATATTAAAATCTCAACAGCAATTCCATTGTTGCCTAAATGCATACTTTTTTACATTAACACAAATATAATGATCACAAAAATTAAGAATGCACAAGATTTTAATAATTATTGTACTGCTTAAAATAAAATACAATTTTTAACAAATAAATAAACTAAATTTAAAGCTAAACTACACATTAAAATAAAGCTTTAAATTAGCAGTTTTCTATATTTTGTGATTCCAGGTTTTATTTCATTTTTGCTTGTTTATTTATGCTTTTGAATTAGATTATATGATCTTGAGCTTTCGTCCAACTACGTTTAAACTTAAAAAGCAACTTCTAATAACATTTTTAATAGTTTAAAGTGATATATTGTCTGGGTTGGTGTATATTTCTATACAAAAACCTTGTTTAAAACAACTGCCAGTACATTTTCTGTTATTTTACAGACTTTTTTCTCTATATATTATTTCTTAAACATTATATTATTTTAAAAAACTAAAATGTCAATAAAAGTTACATTGTTAAGGCAGAATTGCTAATGTTAATTTTCTACCTGATCAAAGATTTATGTTACTGGGGGATGAATCTGTTCTTCTGCTCCATTAAAGGAAGAATAACTTGGACTTTACATTGACTGAAAATAATGACTGAAAAATAATGATGAAAAAGTATGGCTCTTCATTGTTTTATTCTTTTATATGTCATTATTGTTTGTTTACTTGTTTATGTCCTCTTATTTAACATATCAGCTTGATGTTTTACAATTATGTTTATTTAAGTGTTCTGTCTTGTGAGGGTGGGAATGAGAGGAGGGTGGTTAAAAAAAATGTCTACATGCATACTGAAGTGATTCTCTAAATTGTTAATGAGAAAATAATACATTTATTGATTTTACAAAAAGTTACTTTGTTTTACGGTAAAGTTGAATTTTCAACATCAAAAGGTAACAGAGAAGATTAGGGTAACAAAATGCAAATCACAAAAAATAATTGTGAATCATAAAATACGGAAGCTGTAAATTAACAAATATGTTTACAGCGTAAACATCTAAATAATTGTATTAATTATAAATAATAATTTATTTAAAAAGGATTAAATTCCAAAACAATTTTACTAAAACTTTAATCAAAAATGAAAACAGAAAAAAGAAAAGTAATTTAAATTAATAAGCAGAAAACACAAAAGTTACTGAATGATACCAAACCTACACTGAGCTCAGTAAAGTACTTCAGTGTAATTGCAGGTTTAATGAGCCTGGCAGGACTAAAAGACTTCACTGCTGCCCTATTAACTGATTCAAACTGTTTGAAACAATAAAACCGAATCAACTCTTATGTAATCTCATCTGCCCACATTAACACAACAGAATCAACAAGAACATTGTGTTTCTGATCTCATTCCTCAACTGTAAAAACCATGCCACACATCATTCAGTAACGCATAACAGCGTCTGACAGCAGCTTCAGCTCTCACTGTCAATAAAGCAATGAGCAGTCAATGGTGTGATTAGATAAGACCAGTCCATTCAGTACAACAGTCCAGCCAGCAAAACAACACACGCATGGCTGCAGTCTTTTACATAAGCGGCATCAGTAAACACAGCCGAGGGGAATGACAGGCATGTTAGAACGAAAACAGCCACTGGGATGTGTTTGCATACATTACACAGGCCTTCACTCCACCCGACGACCCTCCATCTCCACTCACTCACAAAGCAACACGTACAGTCCGTCGTTTATGGCCTGTACTTTTCCTATCAGGATTCCTGGAAGTGGCCTCGCAATTACACGTCTCTGTAGATTCTCTCACATGAGGCTTCAGGCTTCAGCTGTGGAACAAAGGAAAGCCATCTGTTTCAGACCTGTTTCATTGTTTGTGGAGTAAATCAATATCCTGATCATATTTTCATAAAAATCATGATCTTTTTTTTCATATTTTTTTTTTTATGCTATATTTTTAACTGTCTAAATTGACTTTTCAGTCGTTTTTTATGAATATATTTTTTACAATTCTTGCTATATTAACAAATGTAAGACTTTAAGCTTAATAAATTAATAATTTCTACTAATATGCTAATAATTAGTCACAGCTGTGGAACATGGAAAACCATCAGTTTCAGGCCTGTTTTTACAAGAGTTTTATTATTATGCATATTAATATGCTGATCATGATC